TGTCTCGCGCTCGTAATTGTACTTCATACGATTGTACAGAGAGCAGACAGGAAGCGACCAGTCTCGGTCTCGTAACTCTGTCGCCTGCCTCGGTCACTTGTCTCTGTCGCGTGCAGCCAAATTGTACCTTAAGGCACGAAACAAGCACGTGTGTGACCCAAACAGTAAGAAAATAAAATTAAGTACATTCTGTTTTGCATTCTCATTATTTATTTATCCATCCATCCATGTGTGCTAAAAGTTTTTAATTATGTCTTTAATTTTGATATTTGCACTTGTACGTTTTATGAAAGTGAGTTCTTGTTAATTTTGTATTTTTTAAAGGTAGTTATATTATGTTACTCATTAGCAGTCATATAAGTGACTGACTTTGTGCTGGACGGAATATTTAATTACCAACTGAGAAACAGACTTTGTGTTTTGCACCATTTGCTCTTTGAAAAGTCGAGCTTGGCCAGGCCTGAACAACTAAATAGTATTTGATTGCCGATACGGGAACATTTTTGCCTTTTCATCAACTCGGGATCACTCAGCTTCCTATGTGGTGGATATCGGTGATTCTTCCATTCCTTAAATTCAAATTGACTAGACACCAAAGTTAGAAACACCTAACCGACATCTAGTATCAAAGTTAAAAATTGTGGAATGTGGCCTTTACTTATTTCCTACCATCAGGAATTTGATTTTGTAATCAGTTTTCTAATCAGTTTATAAATTGTTATCTGTCAAAATGTGCGTTTTGTGTACGACAATCAGTGTTTGATTCCTTGAATGTTGAGGATTTTTAAAAATACCGATGTTATCAAATGTTTATGTGTACATAAATTTGTAAAAATGTTTCAGGTGAGTGCATTAGATGCTATGTTTGCAACTCTGCAATCAATCCTAAATGTGCAGATCCTATAGAACGAAGTGGATTGGAACCAATGGAATGCACTAAAACTGCCTTCCAAGAAGTTTCCTCTACTGTGAGGAAGGGTGTGGAGACTCTAGGAGACCTTTTGGGCTTCCAAGGAATTCCTGAGGGACCTAACATAGATTTGAAGTTTGCGTGTCAGAAAATTGATATGTCGGGTAAGATATTTTTAAGATATATTAACAAGCCGTACCTCTTATAGGATGTACGACTGAAATAGTATGAAAGTGAGAAACCTCGGTTTAATTTTTTTGTATATATATAAGTACAAATACTTGATGTACTCGCATTTCAGTTAATTCATTTTAGAGTGTAAACTGTTTTATTTGCATATTATTGAAAGTACAGTAACGATTAATGGCTACCTCTCTCAATCAGGCATACAGCGGTGGGCAGAGAGTGGACAAATTTTGATTGATTATTACATGGTTACAGTAATGTAATATATCGTTTATGAAATTGTGTAGTTACGCATCAGTTGGTATTGCTTTAATTCTTAACAGATTTAGGTCTAGTAAAATAATATGATTCGGAGAGTTACCCACACATCACCAAATTCAAATTTAAAATGTTTCTGCACTTTTTAAAAGGTTTCAGTCAGTTCTTTATGGAATTGAGGTTTCTGGAATGAATTGGAAAAAAAAAATCACTGTCACCACATAAAATGTTCTTCTGTTTACCCCGGTGATTAAGCCATGAGGATGTACGATGTAGGACCATAATGAAGGAATATACAGAGAACATGTAACAACTTCCTTGTAGACATAATCAGCAAAGAGAAGAACTCCATTTTTACTGATATCATTTTGTTTCACGACAGTTTAAACAAAATTAATTTATTTTAATAAAATGAATTTTCAATACTTACTTTGTAATAACTCTGTACATTAACTGAATGATGACGACAACAATAATTATTATGATGATGTAAAAATAAAAATAGGTTGAGTTCTCTGGTTGTTGTCTGTTATGTTTGTTTACATTTGTCATATTATTGTGATCAGTTTTCATTAGAACCTGTCTTGAGGATATTTGTGCTCCACAAATATCTTCACTGTTTACAGTATATATATTCTTTTTTCAGATCAAACTGGAACGAAACACACATTTCGGAGTTGCTCGATCGCAAAGAGTGAATCTGTCGATCCATGTGCTATGGCGGATGATGTTTCTAAGATTACAAAAGGCCAGGGCAAGGTAGATTTTTGTGAAACCTGCGAAAAGGACTTATGTAATCATTCTGTCCGTCACTCCTTCACCTTGACGTCTGTCATTGTGGTGCCTTGTTTTGCCATTATAATCTCATCTTGGATTGGTGTATGAACCAATTCAGTGGTATCTTTAAGTCATAACAATGTGTCTTGAGAACAATACTGGATTGAGGTTTGCAACTTTTGACCTTGATCTTGTTTATGTCTGAACTATGTCCAACTGAATTGGTGTTACATTCATTATGTCATTCACTGGAAATTTGTGCGTCATTGGTGACACTACTTCAAATGCAGAAAACAGCATGCATATATGATCTGTCTCATCTTACAAGCATACAGACACAAAATTATAGCAGAATCTTGGAAACAGTGTAGTTATGTTCACTTACATATTGTAGTTTATTTTAAATGTTACATGCTATTAATTTTGGTAACTTTTAGAACCAAAGTAATTATGTGGCCAGATACCTTCAGACTTACTTTGATTTTAATGTAAAGATTAAAATATTAGTGGAGTAAAAATTGGATGCAAGTTTAGTTTTCTTTAATATGGCCTGTTTGAAATGTCGTTAAAACTTATTTTGTTTTGGCTTTGTGTGTCATAAATTGGATCCAATTAACACACATATGTGGACCATCCAGTCACACGTACTGTAACTTAATTTTAACACACATATGTGGACCATCCAGTCACATGCACTGTAACTTAATTTTGCCAGTGTTTGATTTTGGGTGTACATCAAAATAAACATGTTGGTACATAAATATTGTTGTAAAATTAAGATTTGAAATTAGAGGCATTTCATTTTGTCTTTTCAGTGCAGCTGTGCATGGGAATTTTATGCACTGAATTTTCTGTTCATTTTCAGCTTTGACTCTACAGTAATAAAAATGAGTTAAAAGTCAGTGTAATTTTATGTTTTGGTCTGTATACCACTTTTGCTTATATTTTTGTGGTCTGTCACTGGTCATTGTCTGGGACAGATAATCAGTACAGTCTAATTAATAACTGATAAACAACAAATTCAGAATTTGCAGAGTACTACGATGTGTTGATTGCTTTTAAAAATGTGGTGTTGGTGTTGTGAATAAATTACTTATTCCATAAACCATATGTTATCAGTATTTGGAAACAGTATAAATGTAGTTATATATATAACTTTCTGATGGTTTCAATGTCAGTCATGTCAAGATTGAAAGACATCTTAATTTACATATAAATCTGTGTTTATTTTGTTTTAAGGGAATCTGAGATGCGATTATTATAGTTGCCTAAGTAATCGGCCTAGTACTGTTGTCGGTTTCAATTTTCCTGGAATATATGGCATATGATTTGCTTGCAAGTTGCTCCACTTCTGAATAAGATCTATACTTTGACATTCCTTGTATAGCTACTGCTTGATCTCCAGCAGTCCATAAGCTTAGATGGCCAAACAAGATTCTAACTAAATATATGATTTGATATATTACATTCAATTTTCTCTCAAATAATTATCTTGCATTGGCATCTAAAATATGAGCAATTTAGTATAGGATGGTATAAACCATTCTTATTCAGATTTTATGCTTTGCATTTATGTCTCTGCAGGCTTTATCCTATCACTGAATATATTTTGGGTATCTTGTTTCCTAACTATGTTTATAACATAATCGACCATGTTTCCAAATGGCTACAGTAAGACCTTTTTTCATATGCTGTCTTCTCCATGTTCGCTGTTCTCTACTTTGTGTCTGAAAATTCAGAATAATAATTACAGCACCAATTCAGGATTGCAAAATCCTCAATACATGTTTGTGGTTTTCTCCATTTGAGATGCCTACAGAAAAATTGTGGAGAATATATTTAAATTCAAACGGTGGATGAAATAATTATCAATTGCAAATTAATTAATTTGTGAGAGGGAAGAAAGAAGGAAATCCGTTCTTTTCTCAGGTATTTTAGCCAGAAATTGTATGCTGCATGTATAGGTTATTTTTTATTGTGCATTTTCCTTCCATTGGACTTTTCTTTTTCGTAACTTACACAGTTTATTGTAAAGTTTGTGGATTCCATGAAGGGATCCTGTGTATATCTAAACAAGGTGTGTCACAGGTCGTAACATAGAATAGGCAGAGTGTATTTTGTCTGTTTTCCTGTAGTGACTGCAAAATTCATACTGTAATCATGGAAGCATTATGTATACAATATGTGTTGAGTAATGTGGAGAAAAATGTCGCTTCATTTCTCTACTATAGGCCTACTAACTGTTGTACCTCACAGAAATTCAGAATAATAAGAATGGTAAATTGTTTTAAATTATGTTACTGGCCATGGCTACTTCAACATCAACAACACTTATGTAAGATTTGAGGTTAAGGCACCACCACCAACTACAAAAATAACAACTTGGCCTTTGAACATATTTTAACGAATGTTTTAAATAAGAATAAAATTTATGTATTTGTTATTTTACTTGCTTTGTAACTTTTAAGTATAAGATTGATTGCACTTCTGTGCAATTCATTTCATGTGGCTGTTTTGAAAATACTGATTGTATGTGTTTATATGCATTAATTTTGTATGAAGGATTGAAATAGCAGCAGTTGGTGGCTTAAGATGAATAGAAGTGCTGGAATTTGATGAAGCATGTGTATAATCTCTAGAAATGTCTGTTTATAGTGATGATTATATTACTGTAGACTAGATACTCCCATTTACCCATTAATGTATTTCTCAAGACCTTTGTATTTTGCATATGGAAGCTTTGTTACAGCTTCATGTAGCTATTGCATAGATGTGCCTGCAAAGTCTTGAACTACATATTGTAATATTATGTGATTATGCCTTCAAGTAAACATAATTGACTTGCAACACATGTGAACTTATCTTTATACATGGAAGGTATTTTTAATTGTATGAAACTTCTTTTAGATATGGAAGATTAATTTTAGAAGTGATTTCAGAATTGTTTTGTTGTGATAGGAACGTTAAGAAGCAGTATCTTTGGTACATATATTTCTAGTATATTACCAAAGCTCTTAAAAATATTGGAAAAATGCTTTTATAATTAAAATATTTCAAAGACACATTACACTTACTCCATCGTATAACTTGTGATTATTTCACTTTTATTAAAATCTGTTAAATAATTCATCACAGCTGCATAATTTCATTGCATTGTTTTTGTTACAAATCATCATCTTTTTCCGGTTTAACAATGTTTGTACATTTTCCGGTACCCTTTACGGGTCCCCAACTTTTCAGTTGGCTTGATCTATGGACATTCGTTAGGACTCCTTGGACGAGGGATTGGCCCGTCGCAAGGCCTCTACCTGTACACAGGACAACACAACACAGAAAAACATCCATAGCTTAAGTGGAATTCGAACCCACAGTCCTTGTGACCAAGAGGCACAAGACCCACGCCTCAGACCGCGCGGCCACTGCGGACCCCAGTTACAAATCATATTTTAATAATAACTTTGCATTTATAAATTTTAAATAACTTGTATTATTAAGTCTTCTTTGTCTTGATGTTAATATCTGTGTTGCTATTGAGTTGTGTTCTCATTCTTACTCGTGTAATTCTGCTGTGTTACGATGAACAAGAATATTATACCGATGGCATGCAGCAAAATGTTATTGGTATGTCGACTGTAATTGTGTGTCCGGTCTTCTGTTTAAACTGGTAAAAGTATTGGTAATTACACTACGCTATAATATTGTTTTAAAATTTAATATGAACTACTGATTATTTGATTATGAAGAGAGGCAGTCAGAATGTTCATTACTTAATTTTGTCATTCTGGGGGGGACACCCCTGCCCCACCATTACTCACCTCATCTGCTATAAGAGCAAAGGCACCATGAAAAACAATTCTTTTATGTATAAAAATTTCTTAAAATTTTACTCTACTCTGTAATTGTTTTGATGTATGATGCATAATGTGAGTATTGTATAGGCATAACTACACATGAAGATGACAGCCTTCTGGGTCGTTGCACTGTGTAGTCTGGTAGAAGTTTGCTGAAGTTTTAGAGAAACTTACAGCCTCCCTCATCAAGATGATGGTACTCATCACCGTGGTAATACCATTGACATAATTAAAGATCGCTTCCCAATTAATTTGTAAGTAACATGCAAATATTGCAGTTTATTTACTTTGGTCTTCATTTACTGCATTCTAGTGCTGAAATTGTTACAATGTGCATGTCCATTTTGATGGGTATATATAAATTTTGCATTCTGCTGTGGCTAAATATATATGATATCAAGAAATGTTTTAAATGTAAAAGTTTAATGAGCTGTGTGTCATGCAATTCGTTTTTGTATGATACGTTTGCTTTTTAGAATACTAAAGAAGATCGTTTTGAGTTTCATGTAAATTAGAGGTTATGTTGAACTGATATAAACCAAAATTAAGATTTTAAGATACCTTTTGGTGTAGACCACCAAAATAAATTTTAACACAAAACATTCAGTACTTTGTAGGATGAAGCATGTGGTCACACAGACAAGGCTTTTTTATTGCTTGTTATGTGCCTAATACAAAAGCCACCAAAAAGAATGCAAGGACTCGAAAGGTATTAAGGGTATGATAACTTTATTAAAACATCCTGTGGACATTTTACGCACTTATACAGTTGTCACTGTTGTTTACATTTTGTCATGGTTCCTGTGGGAACTTAATTTTGCCTGTTGTGGTTATTGTATTAAAGTGTTTTAAGGGGCTCTGGAGGCCGACTTTTAACAGCAAAGTTTCAGACCGGACGCCCACTTACAGCCGAAGGCCGCTACGTGGGACAGACAGTATAATAGCAATGGCTAGAGTATTCCTGCAGCTCTTCGTTCTTGAAGCTATCGTTCACTCAGGTAAAACATGTTTTTTTTCTTATTCAGGTAATTCTCTGGCCCTTTCCGATAAAGAATCAGTAGTGTTACATCTCGTTGACATTTAGTAGAGATTGTAGATCCTTGATCAGCCTAGTGCTCCAACTTTGTTTATGTAGAGCGTGATATATTTTTAAATTTCTGTAGTAAATATACTTTTGTATATTTGTCGGAGCGCTCCCAAAACCAAACTATATTAATGGTCTTTCGAGTATTTAACATTATTTATCTGGATGGAGAAAAATACCGAAGTAAGAATATATATGCACTAAACAAGGGTAAAAGAGGGTAGGTTTTTTGTTTGTGCGATATTTTTTTCAATATAACGCAATCGGAATGACACTGGCTGATATATCTGCAGCCTCTTACTTCCATGCCATCTGAAGAATTTACAATAAACATTTCTGAGTTATACAGTCATATATCCTGTTGAACTAGTGGCTTTAAATAGTACACGGGGCTCGATCTGTACCGAGGCACTAACATGGGAAGTATTTTAACATTTATGATAGCCGTATTTAAATTAATGGCGGCAGAGGACGTGTCCGAATCAATCCGTAAAACTGAAGTAGAGTAATTTCTCCAAAAATTTGAGTTTTAATAACACGATTGACTAGTAAGAGAAAGTTGTTTACGAAACGCGAGTGCGTGTTTGATGTAACGCAATCAAAATAAAGCAAAATAACGAAAGTTCTCAGCCGTGTCAGGTGGTTTAAAGGCGAAAAACTTAAGCACCTCGATTATTAGGATAGAGATGGTTCTCGAAACGGTATTTTTTTTTCTCCCGCGTTTTAACCACATGACGGCTGGCAGCCTGAGTGAACTTGATTATATCAAGTTGCCGTGAAAGTTCCAGAACATAATCTTGACTTTATTGAAATTAAGTTAAAGTTACTAGTGAAAGGCTATTGTTTCAATGCCAGGTTTCAGCTTTCTCTGCTTCAGTTGCAACAGCAGGGATGACCCAAAATGTGACGACACTTTTGATCTAGCCAGTAGGAGTTACGTGGATTGTTCAAGTGATTATTTCGAAAAGCTGGTCCGTACGGCTACGAGAAATTTGACTGACGTGCAAGATGCATTTCTGGCCTATCAAACTGTTGCACCCAGCAAATCGACCTGTCAGAAGCTTGTCGTTAAAGGTAAGTTTTAACGCGAATCTTATTACAAAGCAGGATGGATGTTCAAACGATATAAGCTATGCGATGGCCTTATTCTTTATTTCTGGAGTTAAAAACTTTGACCTTAATGATTCAGAAGATATTTAAAACGTAAGATTAAATTATTCAACATTCACGAATTTTACTTAAGACATGCAAGAAAAGGTTTTTATTGACATCTGTTTCTCAATTTTATTCCTTCACAGTAAATAATATGGGCACTAATGTTTATTTTAGATGGCAATGGAAGTGTTATAATTCGCAGCTGCTCTGTATGGAAACTTGATGGTGCCGAAACATGTTTTTAGATGGCAATGGAAGTGTTATAATCCGCAGCTGCTCTGTATGGAGACTTGATGGTGCCGAAACATGCGACATTCACATGAAAAATTTACGCAGTGAAAATGTTCTATTCTGTGAACAGTGTAATAATAATGTATGTAACACGTCTTATGTTATTTCCACCGATCTACCTGTCCTGTTTATGGCACTTTTTATTGCTGTCATTTTGACGTCTGTTTAAGTTCAAAGATTCATATGAAAGCCACGCATTCATTATAAACTTAGACGCGAGAAACGAGACTGGAGGAAAAGTAAAAATGCCAATAACCAAATCCAGTTGAACTACAGTCTTAGAAAAAAGACTGAGTTATGTTTGTAACAATATCATGTATTGCTGACAAATAATATGTAAGATGCAAAAAAATAAACTAAACGTTATTTTTTTTGCAAGTTAAACTCAAAACTGTCAAAGCAATAGTCTTGTACAAAGATTTGTGTTTTAGGTACCTACCAGGTTCCCGGAAATGTAACGTTACTTTCAGCGATCCTTTTTTATTGAGCCAGTAACATGTCTTACTTTACATATTTCTTCGCAGAGACTTAAACTGTTTATATCTGGTTTATGGTTATTTCCAAACCTGAATATTGAGACGGTACGTTCTCCCGAAATGTCGATAACCACATAAAAACGACAAAGCGTCATTACTAACAAGACCACAATCGATGTTTTCACCTGTGAAAAACCTCAAATTTCAGATAGGCCTCTTCTTTTATGTCAGATATAAATTTTATGATTTTTTTAAAATAAACATTGCAAATATTAAATCTATAAGTCGTGTACCATCTTTCAGTACGTGCAAAATGACGTTCTTAATTTCCCTAAGCATTATATGACACGTTTTCTTTGAGGTAAGAACTGAATTTTTAAATATTATTTAGTTCACCTTCGTGATTCTTGTATGGGACAATACCATATAATCGATGCCACTGAGTGGACTGTAGCCATCACTCATACTTAACTGAGATTATTCTCTTAATCCCTTGTACAAAGAATAAATAACCTTTTCACTCACTTTGTTGAGTGTACCTCTTTCTGCATTATCCCAGGAGCGCAATTTCAGCGTAACTTAATACCAGCCAGGGCAGTGGGATGATAATTGTTCTTTTCTTTAGTGAAGGGTCGCAAGCGGTTGCTACAGAAATATTGCTCTTGTTTCTTGCAGCTGAAGAGACCTCATCGGGGTCAACAAATGTGACCTCTGTGTTAATATAAGTGACCTTAAGATTGAACTCAGTTTTCAGCACAGACCGTCGTTGAAGTCATCGGTAGACCAAGCATTTACCAGGTTTACTTTCATAAACAGAGATCCGAGTCGGTTTCAAAATTCGGGTCTTTGTTTGCCAAACGTCATATGAGCTACTATTACCTTGTGAAGTACGACTCATGCTTCATGGAGTTAATTTATTTGAACCAAGAAAATGTAAATATTACTACATAATATCACATTTTGATGTATCTTGTGTTTGGAAGAATTAATAATATTGCCAACAATTTTAGCATCGACCGGATCATGAAGATGTGTTTCCAGTGACATGACATTCAGAATGTCGCTCTGTAACGATGCGTCATGAGCATTAGCAAGCAGAGCTCTGTGTTCATCATCTAGTGCTAATTACCCGTCACATCTCACTAGGAAGGTTCTGAGTCGGTATGCTAAGTGATTTGTCACAACATAATTAGTCGTCTAAAATGTCTACGTGAAACATACACTGCTCTATTACCTTATTTCAGATGATAAGTTTTACTTGTATGTCGGTTTATGTACAACAGCAAACAAACAAATTTCTGTCATATTCTTTGCTGTTGAATTTTTATGGAACGGAAGTAAACGGACAGGCAAGTGACGAGCTAGTCCACGTCCACAAGACGGCGTCTTAATATGAGTTCAATAGGATTACGCTCGCAACGGGGCGAACCACTCAAAGGTACTTGCCCTAATATTCACCAATAGGAAATCAATATGATATTGCTCCCTGGTCAGTGTTTATCCATGGCTGCCACGCAGACATCCTGAACAGATAAAAAATAAAAGTAACTTTAGAAGAGCGTGAAATTGTTACGCAATTTACCCAGAAGTTTTGTGACGGTCTCCTGGCAAAGTTTAGATCCGAGGGCCTCCGGGACACGGACGAGTTTACCCGGTCTGCAGGTCCTTACGTTGTCCTTTTCGTTTAAATAAACAAAATACGATATTTTCCTGGAGCATCCTGTGCTTATAACAAAATGAGCGTCCTTGCCTGCAGAAGGAGGCACGCACTGGAAGGGGGCGGTAGCGGTAGTGGAGGAGAGGTACGATGTTGCTTTTGACCATCACGTCTGCCACAGAGAGTCAGACGACTTCTTCAGTGCTAAGATTTCATTCACCATTGAAAGGTTCCGCCAGCGTCCACAATGCAGTGCGTTTATATTGCAGTCTTCTGCCTACTGGCCCTGAGTATTCAAACAGGCAAGTTATGAACCAGCACTGCTCGTTCTAAATCAATTTTGAAATCGTGTCTAATTATTGTTTCTGTCAGATATTCTTTATTTGTATTTGCTTGTTACATGTATATATTTATTTATGACATTGACTTATTTACCTGTTTATTATTTTACATTTATTTTATGTTGTTTTATTGGTTTATTGTCCACATTTTCGTATTTTTCTTCAGTTTTCCTTAAATTTATATTCTCTTCTTTAATCTTACATTTTCCTTTCGTGTTTTTTCTCCCCATTCATTCCTCTTCTTCAGCGTTCATCCACCTGTGTTTTTCTTTTCTTTTATTGCTTTCACTGTCTGTTATTACTTGTTTTTCTATGATGTAGCGTGTTTTTGTGCCTTGAGCTATAAAACTGGTATGTAATGAAGAAAACCATTCAGTGCGCATTTTTGATGCTGTTAACTTCATGCTTGTTGATATAAATTATTCAGTTTTAGAGAGAGGTACTTGCTAAACATATGGGTTAAGTTGCTAGCACTTTCAGTTGTATTTTGAAAGTCTCGGGTTTAGTTCTCGTACCGGAGACCGCCATTCTGAGGATTTTCCTAGTTTTACAGAGGACGTCAAAGAAAACGCCTTAATATAGACCACAAACGATGTTTTATTAATTCATCGTTTATAATTATCTTGTAATTTGATTCTTTTGTGATATATGCAAGTACTAATGTAAAACACTTCGTCGAATAATCACAAAAATCAGTCATTCAGATAGTTACATGGGCCTAAATACAGGCTTATAACTTGAACATTTCGGAGATACAGTGGTCTAATAACTCGAAATACGTAGACAATGGGATAACCGCATAAACCAAGAGGTATCTTCAGTAGCACAACCGATGAAACATACAAAATTCTTCCGAACTTCCATGTTTAATGTCGAAGGGAATATTACCAACCGATTATTTAAAATAAAGCAAGGTGTGGAAAATGTTGAGAAAATTATTGGTGCATGTAACAGTTTTTGATAACAGAAAAGTTATTTAATAAAAATATCTTGGACAACGGTAATTGGTATTTGATGTATGACATTTCGGGAACTGGATCTACTTCATTCATCGGGTGTTGGTCATTATACAGACAGTCCATTTGTTTAGTCGTTTCTATCTCTGTCTCTGCCCAAGATGTAAAATAATAGAGAACCTATGCACTGAGCATTAATAACATAAATATGTATGTTTCTAAAGTATCGATATTTAGCTCCGTATTTCCTTAATTCTAGTGTCGATTTAGATTCGCTGGTGGCGCTCTGCGTTGTGAATTTCAAGCACGGTTACTCGTAAAACTGGTGAAGAATGAACGAAATATTAGCGTACCTTTCTCAAAACTCAGGAAACCGTATTATAAAAGGAATTCATCATGTTTATATTTGCAGAATTACGTATACAACTTCGGATTGTGTCATGCCCGACCTTTCTGGAGGAGTGTGCTACATGCATGGAAAAATACTTTATAACCTACCTAGCCCATAAATGTTATGTACTATGACGTCATCAGTTTCCACACCCACAAAGTCGGACAGACGAGTGAAGCAAGTGTCCTTGGTTTTACAGTGGCCAAGTACTTGTTAATGATTCACTGTCTTACAAACAATGATGAAAAGTTCCATCAGCTGCCGGACGGAATAAACCGTCCCACCTGCTCGTATAAGTACAGTCAGAAACAAAACGTAGGCATCAATCCTCGTTTGATGGTTTTCTAGTTTGTGGGGTATCAGTTGGCCATTTTAGTGATTGCCAAGCGTTTTTTTTTTGCCCATTTCGTCACTGATAGATCCCCATTCCACTCAAACTAAAGCGCTTAAGGCAGGGGATTTGAACTTCGCGAAGACCGAGAATCAAATTCACACTTTATGAAGTCGCGAGCATCTGTGTTAAAAAATGAGGATAATTTTTTGGATTTTTTTTAAAAGTGTTACTTACTAATGCATCAACATGTTCAGAAATCACTTTGTTTTTTTAAGCAAAATCTGTCATTAATGAGATATTTGACTGTTTACTCGAGTAATGTTTCAACACGAGTTTTAGTTTCTGCTGCTAGTGTTTGCGTGCGTCCTTTCGGGCTCTCATCAGTAAAACACGCCCTAATAATGGTTTACGTTTTTATACTTCCTAAAAATTTCATCCGACCTGCCACACCATGGCTATCGTTTTGAATAAGATTTAAATGTGAGAAATAGAGCACTATTATTGAATACTAGTACTTGAACAATAGTACAAGCCACGTTCTCATAATAAACGGATGGTCGCGGACGGAACTCGAAAATATTGCATCCAAAGTACTAAAGTATTTTTTTTAGTGAAGTCATTACTTCGTAAATCTTTCACCAAAATGGTGAACCACCACAGAGCAGTAGAAATTATAACAGCACTGAAGCTGTGATGCTAAATTATCACACACACACATACAGTGTTTGTTCAGGCAGAGTTCGTCAGAGATAATAGAGTTGTATGCATGATGATCACGTAAATTCCATATTAAAACCTTTTATGTTCCGTGTGCCCTGTATGGAAACATTTATGACGCATTTCCTCACATAGTTACGGTTTAAGGACAACCTTCATTTCGGATGGATAAATAACTGGAATGTGTTTCCTGTCACCGAATGACAATGATTATAGTGTGTACGAAATACCTCGATCTAGTAGTTATATTTTTGATAATGTGATATTCGCTCAGATGCATATAAGATACAACTGCCGAGCAACTAGAAAGAGGACTACCTCATGACAAATCTTAAATTGGGATTATAGTGCGGTTTAGTATAATTATATAAGATACAACTGCCGAGCAACTAGCAAGAAGACTAGCTCATGACAAATCTTAAATTGAGATAATAGTGCGGTTTAGTATAATGATAGACGTCGACAAAGAACATACATAAACATTTTAACCGATCACAGCTGAAGTGATATAAGTCAACAGTGGTATAAAAGGAATATTTTGGGTGTATATTTTCAATTTATTCACGCTAAATAACCCTACATATTGAATTTTGTGCTAATGAGAAGTCTAATTTCATACAAATTGGGTGTATATTTTCAATTTATTCACGCCAAATAACCCTACATATTGAATTTTGTACTAATGAGAAGTCTAATTTCATACAAAATTAAACGAATTTGACTTCCCCACTCTGACTCTGAGCAATTTATTTGTGTCCTGGGCGCCATTCGAATCCCCTTTGCGTGAGACTGTACGTAATTAAACCTCGCGGATGTTCAGACGAACTTCCGTGACAATACATAAATTATAAGACATTTCCGTGGTAACTTAATTTACGCAATAAAACTGAGATGTGATTTAAAGGTGTCGTCATATCTTAACTGCCGTGAGAACGTCAGATTTCTGACTTCATGGTCTTGTAAGACGTTACAAAGTATAAAACCAGACATTCAAACAATACCTAGACATTCAACAAACGTGTGTATTCAGTGTTCTCCCTGAAACGAGGTCTAACTATGGCCTTGCAGAATGCTGCCAATTAGATTCGCTAGGCATACAACCTTCAGCTCCGTAATTGTTTTTAACTTCAAATCTGCAAATTGCTGGAACTGGAATGAGTTAGTTTATTTCAGCACACTTTTCGATGAATCTGTCTGGTTACCACTAACGTTTTCACCACTGTTGATTTTATAACAGTCGTAGCAGAACCCAAGTGCCAAATACATAGATATCACCATGAATTATGTTATTGTAATATAATATTTTCGTATTTAAACTCGTGATTCAGGTTTGTTACTCTTATTAATTATCTGTTGATGGTGGCAAGTAATTTATTACCGTTTATTGCCATTCCTATTGAAGTAATAATATTCCTGTGAAAATTATACTAAATTGAATATTTTATGAGACCAGTTTTCATAATTAGTCTGGGCCTACTTTTTCTTGCAGTTTTTGGTAAATGTAATTAAATCAAATTCGTTACATTTTGCCGAGTTCCTAAAATAATATCAATGGCGTAAGAAATTACTTTTTTAAATTAATGGTAAAGATTTATTCATAAAATTCATGTGGGTAATATTTATTAATTTTGGTTTATTCGCTATGAAGAAACATTTTTTTATTTTTGAAGGTTATAAATGGGTATTTTATTCATTACTCAGTCATATTTTTTTGCTGAGTAAGAAAGACAATTATCGAAAAATAATATATTTGTCATGACAGCTCGACATAAGTACAAAAGAAATTTGTGAATGGAGAACTGGGAATGCGTTTCTTAAGAGTTTCAATGTAACCTATAAAGATGCTTCATGTTAGGTAATATTCTTTTCAGGTGCCGGGTTAAGGTGTTGGTCGTGTGCTTCGAGCTCAGATCGGCACTGTGGGGATCCATTCAACAAGACCTTCTTCCACTTGAGGGACTGCGACAGCGACCGTTCTCCCCAAACTTATAATCGGCTCACAACCCCCGTGTGCAAAAAATTAAAACAGCTCTGTAAGTACAATTATGTGGTCGACATGGTTCCATTACTCACATGTATAAACACACGAAATTGTACAGGCATTCAGAGTTTGGTATGAAAATAATACGAACAAAAGTGGTATTTTAAGCAAAATATTTGTTCCACTACAAAAACAATAAGTCCGAGTCAAATTATATGCGATAAATTTTAAACCATTCCGTCAAGAATGTTAAGAACTTCTGCATTGATTGAATTAAGGTACTGCCCTGGCATTCGACTGGAGAGACAGCGGAAAACAACGAAAACAGAAAAGACAACTAGTGTCCCGACCGTGATTCGAACCGGGCACTTCAGAAGCGTTAGTGCGTGGGCCATCTTTCTCGGCTGAGGCGACAGAAAGGCCAGAGGCCTCAGAACACGGCCAATCGACGTCTCTTTAGCGGCTACCGCACATATTTGTAATACAGAGTGAACGATTTTCACCAGATGAAGACCTAACAGAAAAGCATCTTTTCGTGTTTTCGAATACGATGTTATAAGATAGTCTTCAACTTACGAAATTGAATTGGATCACATTATAAACAGCCATATTCATACACAATTCGTCAGCCTTACACCTTTTGCATTAATTTGTACGGCTGTACTTCAGAATATGGCTCATGTATGAGTAAAATGTAAAGGTTTACAGAGCCCTACGTCTTGGTTAAGTGTTTACGCCTCCACTCAAGTACGTTCAAGGACATCATGTCACAATGGAGTCCAGGAGGAGTTAGTAGTTCCCCCCCCTTCCTACACCCACACTGCCAACACACATAAACTTACACTGCTCTTACATAACAACAGAAAACGTAATTATTGTTGTACCTTTCATGCATTTGAATTCACACTGTGGAAAATACCACGAGACTTCCTTATGACTTAGATCAGTATCTTCCTTTTGGAAAGATAATGTTTCTTTGCGTAAATTTTGTTAAGGACTTCAGACTAGTTATCAGAGAAGATTTCCGTCTTCTGGGTTGCGCTGTGTAGTCTGGTCGATGCTATCGCCCTGATGATGGAGGCAGTATGACCTCTGAAACGTTGGTTAGCATCGACCAGACTGCACAGCGCAACCCAGAAGACGGAAATCTTCATACTCACCGCTGTGTCGCCCTGATGACGGAGGCAGTATGACCTCTGAAACGTTGGTTAGCATCGACCAGACTGCACAGCGCAACCCAGAAGACGGAAATCTTCATACTCACCGCTGTGTCGCCCTGATGACGGAGGCAGTATGACCTCTGAAACGTTGGTTAGCATCGACCAGACTGCACAGCGCAACCCAGAAGACGGAAATCTTCATACTCACCGTTGTGAAAACCTCAAATCTTACATAGTTATCAGAGGTTTGATTCCATGCTGGAGTGATGGGAATATTCTCTTCACCGCCATGTCTGAGCATCACCCAGCTTCGTAATGGACCACAGGAAATAAAAGTGGCTGTAATGTGAAACTGACTACTCCCCTTCATGTAGTGTCAGGATTATGGATCTGTGGAGTTTTTCTCTCCATTTCTAAATGCTTCCATGGTGTGCTTAACTTTATTAGGGTTTTATACAGATTAGTACAAACCCCACCAAGTTAAAGATAGAGAAAGGATCCAAATAGATGAAACCTACATATTTTCAACCTCCTGGGTCATTTCCAAGAATATAATAAATTTATTGGAAAAGAGAAAAACACATTAAATGAAATGATTTTAAAGCTTTTAGTAAATTAGGGTGTGTCAGTGATTTTTCAGACTGTGGCTGTCTGATAATTTATTAGTGGACCTGCTGATGATGCAGAAAGAAACTAGCAATGTTTTATTTTATGACATTTCATGTTTCAGCTAATGAACAGGAGGTGATTGAGAGGACATGTGTGTGGAATAAGGAAACAGCATGCGCCCCATCATCTGTCCACACCTCTGTCAAAGATGTGTTCTGTGAGACATGTGCTGAGGATGGCTGCAATAGTGCAGAAAGATTTGCATCAGCCACTTTGATGGTACTCCTACCAACCTTCTTGTGGGCACTTGCTGCTAAATTTCTCTGACTTCCCTTATATTCACATTTTAATTGCAGTAACACATTTGTTGTACACATATTGTAAATTAAAATGTTTGGGTACAATTCTAATACTAATGACCTCTTAATAGTCAGATCAAATGATATATGGTATAATAATAGTACCCACTTCACAGGGGCACAGAATTTAACTAAATTAACTTAGAGTACAATTTTTAATATATATATATGAATTTGTACAAACTCATATGTATTTCTTCTTTTGAAAATTTACAGTTGTGTTTACAGAAGTTTGTTTATTGGTTATTTGTTTAGGTTTCTTTACAAAAAATGTAAATAAGACTGTTACACTATCCATAAGGTTGGAAGGGTTTATGAGTTTAGTGAAACACGTATATAATCTAAAATAAATTATATGAAAGGGCTTTTGGTTAGTTAACATCATAGCATTTTTCTAAAACCAATTAACCATTTCCTAGTACAGTTACTGATGGCAGAGTAAATTTTCACCATGAAAAGACCTCTTCATATGATTATGACTGTATTTTAGATCTCAATTAAATGGATTTAAACTGGATGTAAGAAACAAAATACTGTGGCAGATAGACATGCTTGTAATTATTCCTATTACATTACAGAATAATTATATTTTTGCACTTGACCTAACTAATTTAAAACCTGAAACAAAAATTAAACTAAAATAAAAAGGTACATAAGTAATGGAGGCTTATAGTGTAACATGACATAATTTAAACAGAAGTATCATAGAGTAATCCATGCTAATCCAGAATGTACAACTTCAGATACCAAAAACATACCTTCACTTAATACTATGTGTAAGCTGAAATAAGTCCTCAAATGGACATGATTTGTGTCATAATTTTAAGAGTTTAGATGAGAACTTTATTCTGAAATAATCTTGCTCACATGTTAGGATAATAAAAAATCATATAAAAGACTTCTACATATGTCTTCAGCTGAACAAAAATTTTGAGTGTATATTATCCTAATAATTTAATATTTAAATCAATAAAATAGGTATATTTTACAAGAAAAGTACTGTATATACTATTACCAGGAGTGGCACACCACTGCTTAGGGATGTCTTGTGCCTGCCACTTACATTACTCATGGCAACATGTAACATAAATTTCTCATAAAAATGCACTGTGATCCTACAATCAGAGATCATGAAATAAAGTTAATGCAAGTAGAATCATAATTACAAGACTGAAATCGGAAGTTAATACATATTAGGGACTGACATCTTTACTCAATAAATTACCTTTTAGAAATTTTTAAGAAAAGTGTCAACAATTTTTCACCAAGGAACATTAACCTACTTATCATTTGTATTCTTAATTAAATTATACATTCTATTTTGTTACTTGAAGAAAATGTATACATTTTCATAACTTCTGAGCTGTTTTTAAGGAGAGTAACTTAATAAAAAAAGTTGCTAAGATTACTGTATAAACATCACTGTACATTGAGTTAGAATAATGATCATATGCAACTTGGTGTAAGCCACTGAGTTTTGAAAGAAGTGGTTTCCATGACTTCATTTTTATCATGTGTCCGTCCATTTGTAGGTTAGAAAATGCTTTTTTAAAACTTTTCTCTTAATTTTATCCTACTGGATCTGTAGTAAACTTATGTATTATAGAAGCAGTATTGTAAGGACAATTATGTAATACTGAAATAAAATATTTTAAAATGTTTCTGTGCTCTTCCTTGAATTTATATTATATACTTGTGTGTTTCTAATTTTACAAAAAAATTGGGGTAGACGAGATGTCAATCAAAGAAACATGCAGTCATTGTCCGAATTTCATGCATATAGTTATATACAACATTATATAACTAGGTGCAATTGGTTCTCAGTAAACCAGATGTGGAACTACAAAAAGTGTGGCTTGTAAAATGCATCACCAATTTCAGAACAAACAAACAAAAAAATGTCTATTCCAATTGAAAAAGGCTGCACATATTTCATACATATGTTCATTACACCTTCTTGTAATTCACTGATTTATTTACTGCATATATGATTTGAATGTTGCAAAGTCAATAAAAATTGTAGATATCACACAGCACAGCCACGCTTTCTCCTAACAAATCCAGAGAACAACACGCATGGAAATTGCATAGACATTGTTTATTTTATTTCTATAACTATAAACAGAACACCATACAGAAACGTTTTTTCAAATGAAAGGGTGGGTCTAAAATTTATATCATGTCCAAATGTTTGTATAATTAGTCTTTTTTGTTGAATTTCATAAACATTCAGTCTAAGCTACAGGCGAGGTAAGGAGTTGCATACAGCAAAAAATATAACGTATCTGACGTTTTAGTATACTACATCAAACACCAAATTAATTGTAATTCATTTTGTACTTCAGACAAAACATGCAGACAGACAGGACTCCTCATTATTCATTAAAATTGTACTTCATTCAAATACTGTATAAAATGTGCAGTATGTATGCCCAAGCTAAATCATGTAACATTTCTTAGTAAATTATGTGTAACACAAAATTTTAAAGGGCTTTAATTTCAAGAACAGTTACTTTTATAACGTGACAAGAACATAACCTCTTTCCATCTTTTGAACTCACAAAGCGAGTCTATAACCTTAGGGTGCGGCACAGTACATGGGCGTCGTAGTCACGTGATCGGGTCACGTAATGGAAGAAGCTTTTGAACTGTGAATGTAGAATATTGCCTTTGCAAAACACTTTATTTTTAGTCCATAAATAATGGCAGGAAAGTTGTGCCTTTTGTTACTTACTGTTATAGTTGTATTGTTATTCTCAGTAGAAGAAGGTAAGTAGGGTATTAGTTTGTACATCTAAGGTGTGTTACATAGCATTAAGGAGTGTCGATGTGGAATTAATTGCAGCTAAGATGTAGTAAACACAATTCATGTTTTTTGTTTCATAAACTGCCAGCTTTGTTAATTTACATTCATTGTGGACCGATTTATGCCACTTTTCCACTTTCAGATCACGAAAGTTTTGTCATCGTTTTCTGAGGTTATGATCATGTTAGAGTTTACGTTGCGGAACTCTAATACTTGTGTAATTGATGATACAATATCGGTTGTTAAAGTGGTAGGCATCAACAAGTGATTAGAAAGTCATGGTATATGAGTAATGAGTTTTCTGTATGATATATTCATCATTCCTTTGCATTATCTATGAATTCATCAATGTCCTGGGTTCTTTGTTTTTGTGAAACACGTAAGTAAAGACATTGCATTTAATTAACTACATAATTACTTTCACACATTTTAACTCAAAGCATAAAGTTTAATGGTTTTATTTGTGAAAGACCAAACATGAAATATTGTACATTTTACCTGTCTATAGTCTGATCTTCAAAATTTTTTCATTCATGAAATATCCATGCAATTCCGGAAATAAGATGTGAAAGATATAAAAAATTCTCATCCTCTGAGAGTACATTAATGAGTTCAGATAATTATAAACCAGCTTTTTGGTCTCTTATTTGCCTCTCTCCATCAGTAGCTTAGGTTGGGTATTGCTAGATCACATTACTTCGACATATTTAATAATCTGCAGGTTAACTTCAGTTCTGATAATTTTAATTTGTCAGGTTTTTGTATCAAATGTTGGGTGTGCCGCTCAGACTCTGATCCAAAGTGTGCAGACCCATTTGACAACTCAACAGTCCCTATTAGTGACTGTCGGCAGGAACCAGAATTACCACACCTCCCTGGAGTAAGACCAGAGATGTGCAGAAAAATACGCCAGAAAGGTATGTCTAATAGGGTACCTTTCTTTATTTAGCTTTATGAAAACTCTTAACTATGTCACTTTAGGTCTGCAGTAAGGACTTACGACATTTGCAGATTACGGGAACCATGATTACTATTTACATGCTTCAAATATTTATTAATTGCCTTTCTCTTCACTAAACATAACAAAATAAATGTAGGTGTAATAATGGTAGACATAAAGTGTAAAACGTATCACAAAGAGAGACACCACAAGTTAACCTGAAAATAATGTTGGCTCCTTATATTGCATATTGCTTGGTTAGTCATAATGTGTTGGTTGGAGTAAAGTATAAGACTGGGACTGACTTGTATTGACAGTCTCATGGCATTATTGATGTAAGATTTGAGGTTTTCACAGAGGTGAGTGTGAAGATTTCTGTCTTCTGGGTTGTTGCACTGTGTAGTCTGGTCGATGTTTACCAACGTTACAGAGGTCATACAACCCAGAAGACAGAAATCGGTATTATTAATGTTAATATAACATTCATTTATTTCAGTAAATGGAGAGTGGCGATATTTTCGAAGTTGTGCATATGTGGGTGAACCAGGGATAGAAGGAGATGAACGATTCTGCTTAATGCGAACTGGGACTTATAATATATTTATGGAGTACTGCACTTGTAAAGCAAAAGATGGCTGTAATTCAGCTTCAGGTTGGACAGCATCATTGTGCCTTACCTTGTTCCTGAGTACAGTGGCATGGCAGCTACCTAATGTGCTCAAAGTGGTGTCATAAGTTGGGAACCATCCTTCCTGCAATGGTGTAACTGGATAAAACTTGAATATCAGTTCCATTTAATTTACGTATAGTGGCTGAGAAAACGGTATGAAAATCACATTTCTTGGTAATATTGAAACTCCAGTTTGTGTTGGCCCATATTTCTGTCTTGTTTTGTTAAGACCTTGTTTGAAACCCCACAGGACTGTTTCATATTTTTCTAAGTTTGCTGTTTCTATGCTATTCTGCTACCTCGTTTATTTTTTTAACATGTGAATTGAGTCTGAACCTGGTTTCTTGTGGTTAATATGATACATTTGATCAATGTGCCGGTCATTTGTCCATTTCTTTTGTGCAGTAATTCTGCATGTACAGGTATTTCCATAGTTTATGATATTTTACTTTTCTGCTTGTTGATAGTTTGCTGATGTCATATTACTAATCTTTATGTCACAAACTATTCACTTGTAATGTTATCAGTTGATTTAATAGTGCTCTGGTAAGTTTCTGTTGACTGATGTTTCTTTTAATCCCACGTAAGTAATATTTAATAACTTAATAATAAGTAACTGAACTTAAAGTTTGTAAGAGTACAAATCTTTGAAAGCAATTGGCTGAGTTAAGTCATAATATAGATCTGATACAAAATACTTGACCCTTTTGAGTTATCCTGAAAATTTTATGATAAAAAACATTTCTGAAATAATTAAACTGAAGAATCATCTTACATCATCCTCCCTTCAGACTTCTGAAAGTAGTTGACAGTAATCTAAGCTTGTTATAATTTATATTATGTAAGTTCATTTTTGGTTCATTGAACAATGTTTCCTGTAATGTGTTCAGAATTTATTCAGTTGGAGAACATTAAATTGGGGTTTCATGACACTTTTGTTCAGTATTTTATAAGATGTGTATGTTAATATAGATTATTCTGGTTAGATGTAGATGCATTTAGTATTTATCAGTGAAATTTGTACAGCTGTTCATAAATCGTTTTACATTTTTATAGTTGGAATATTTGTTTGTTGAATGACATAGATTCACTATGAAAAATGCTTGCATACATAAAGGCGTGCTCTATTCTGAGGGCATTGCTAATGAAATATTTGCACCCTAAATAGTGAGAAAACTATCCAGTGAATGATTCACTGTGATAAATTCACCATTGGTGCATTAAAGATATGCCCTTTGTGGGTTGCATTAATATTAAACTTGCTGTGTAAATTCGTCCAAATGGCTTATAATTCAATGTACTTGTGCAGAAAAGCCATTATCCACATTCTACTAGGATCTCATGTTACCAGTAAATCTCACATTTCATCATATTTTCGTATATTTTTATATACCTTTGCACTGATATTCATTATAATTGGATTAAGTATCCCTTTAGGGATATTGTGCATGTCTGTGAGTGTTAAGCTATACAAATAGGCATGTAACTTCAGCGCTGAAAAGTGTTTGTGTTTTTTTATGTATATATATATAATGCCGTGTTTTTAGTTATAGTATGTTTGCCCTAAAAATGATCTATTTTTGTTTGATCATGAACATTGCAATTATGTCTTTGTGCTGATGTAAGAAGCTATAGATATTTTCATCACATATTCATGCTAATTAATAAATTTAGTCTAAAGACTGTACCAGGATATTACATCAAATACATGGGCCTGAAATTTTGTTGAGATTCAGGAAGACTGTGATGGCATGTATAGAAATTCTGTAATAGTCATAGTGACTTATTAACGGACAGTTAGGAATGCATAATAATTTGCTATAGTGTGGTTATGCTAATACTAATTTCTTCTACACTGGAAATAATCCAGGTGTTGCATTACGTTAGCCTTGGAAGCAAATTCCATTGTGATCATGTTTCCCACAATCTGTTTACAAAACTTCACATGTGTGTGATGTATGTTGCATATAGGATGTTTTATATGAATATTTTCTGAACTCATTTTATATTATTTTTTTCAGTATTGTAAACAGTATGTACTCACTTTGTTTTTGATTCTACTATAATATTTTGATTTTCAGTTTGTATTTAGATAAAAATGTATTTCAACTTCAATGTTTATACTTGAGAAGATATGTATTCTGTTGAATCTGGTATTTATTAAGGAAATTGCTATAGTTCATGTAGTTTTATGAATAGGGAGCATATAACTTTGTGAGGTTCACAAAGCACATTTTTGAGAAATGGACAGTCCAGTTCACATAATGACCCAGGACTGTAGCAGCTATCACCAGAATATATGCTTCAAAGCTACAGAAAAATCATACAGCATTACAACATGAACAGCAGAGCCCAGGCAAATGAAGACATCTCAGAATGTGCAGCATAGCAAAGTTAGGAATGCTGTACTGGCGGCTTAAAGCCGTGTGGTGGAGGGTGTAAAAATCGTTTGGTGGCAGGTACAAAAGGTGCAGCAGAACATGAATACATGTATATCTACAGTCATGCATCTATGCATCTTCTTCACTTACATATTAAAGTGGTGATATTCTGTTTGTGAGACAACAATAAGATACTGATGTCTACTACTGCATTTTATTACTTATACTTGGTTGTTTATGTTGTTTGTGCATTTTGTCAGCAGTTGCTATATTTCAGTAATTCTACTATAGAAAATAAGAGGGAGATCTGAAATGTACAAATGCAGTAAATAAACAGAACACGTATACAAAATACATTTATTAGTACTTACAACTTATACAAAATACATTTATTAGTACTTACTGAGTATTCCTCATTGCTCTTGCTAGTGCATGTTCTTTGATTGTCAGTACCATATACCAAATGGTGCAAAATGTTATATTTTTTTAAAATTGACGGCACTGTGGAGTGCAGTAAAACTCATATAAGTTGTGTAGAACATACCTAAATATGTATACAAAAAAAATGTATTCAGTTTGGTTGATTCATTACACAAATACATTTTCCATTTTGGATGTTAAAAATGTGTATTTTATTTATAATTCAATCACATTTTCCAAGCATACCTGGGGATTGGGAGCTAGCAGTTCTGGCATACCACCGTGGGGAGCTGACAGTATCAGCCAACCAAGGATGCTGAGAAGACAACTGTTCCATAAGCAGACCTTTTCTGGTAAACACCAGAAGGAAACCTAAAACTAGGAAGAACTGAAATACCAGGGGCTCAATGACAGTGGGGTGGGGGGGCTGTCACTACCTAAGCCTACAAAGGCCCAGACCTGGGTGCCTAATAGGCCTCTTCAAAGATCCAAGGACTTGTCAAGACATGAGATCTGTAGGGAACCATCAAGTATGTCCATTTGGGTAGACATTTTGTTGAACCTTAAGTCATACAAGGCTATGAATTTTGGTTGCAAGTGTATGACTTTGGCTTTAATGTAGCACATCACACTAACAAACATGGTAGTGTTATCTAAGGGTGTGTGTTTGTCTTTTTGGATTAACTTTCTGAATGATGTGGAAGTGACTTCCTTTGTGGTGCACTGCTTATGTTGTATCGACAAACTACCCCAAGAGCTGCAGTTCTGCAGTTTCAAATGCATAATGGGATGTCTGGTCAGATGTGCTTACAACCAATGTAAGAAGCTAATGCCAAATATTACGAGTCCAAACATGAAGCCAATGCAGAATCAGACTCCATTTCTGGCAGTGTCATCGTGACATAAACATTATGAAAATATATGATGGCAAAGTCTACACAATTTTGTTTAACAATGAATACGTGTATATCATTAGCTAAGCCAATAGCAACACAAGTTAATAATAATAGTGACTGAGAAGTACCCCACCAAAGGCCTACATGTTTACTAGAATTTATTATATTTGTTAGGAAGATATTTGGACCTAGGAAGGAAGAAATATAAGTGGGACATTTAGAATATTGCATACCATGGATCAGTGTGAATTGTACAGGTCACTTAGCATAGTGAGGGTAGTGAAAAAGAGGGGGCTCTGATGGGCTGGACATGTACGCATTGGGGGGGCAAGGGGCGCATACAGAATTTTGGTGGGAAATCCTGGATAACGACCACTGGGCAGCCCAAGGAGATGGGAGGACAATATCAAGATGGATCTTCGGAAGGTTGGCTGTGAGGATGGAAAATGGATGGAGTTGGCTCAGGATCGTGTCCGGTGGCTGGCGCTGGTGTTGGACTTCTGGGTTCTGCTACCAGGGAGTTAGTCGTGTACTGTGTACAAATTGGTAAAGAAATGTAACCATATCCCGTTCACTATGTGCCCCACCCACTTCATAATACGTGTATGATGAAACCTTGAGTATTTTTATACAAGTAAGAATTAAATTGTACAAATGTTAGAGAGCTGGTTAATGCTTTGAAATTAGGCTTAACACCTGTTCACAACGGTTATTTGTATTAGTGAATCTCAGGCTCACTGGCCAGCCAATATTCGCCATACCTGCCTACAGTGCCTTATGTTGGTACTATTTGTGCTAGTTTTGTTTGAAGGAAGGGAACGGAAGGGTGTAGCTTGGTGAAGGAAAGTACTATGTTAACCTGAATGAAATGGATTATAACGTTAATTTTGGTTCAGTATTCAGTGTAATAGCCCTACTCTTGTGCCTGGTGTCGTTAGGTAAGTCATGTGTTTGATTAATTTAGACATAATGAAGTAGCCCATCGCGAATGTGCAACAAATAACCTATATTCACATTATGTTTTGCATGTAACTTCTATTATTAGGGCACGGACTTTCATGAATATGTTTTTGCGTAGCTCCAAAACAACACTTTAATTCACACAGCTGGGAAAGTGTTTAAATGTCAAAGGTAAGAGTACTCTCAACATGGGAGTTCATTGGACATTTGTTGCAGGTGAAGCTATTCAGTGTTACCAGTGTTCTTCAGGGCAGGATCATAAAGGAGAAGATAGTTGTGGAGCATATAAGAAATTTGATAAAAGTCGTCACATTGCCATTGAATGCAACAGTGATGAGTCATACACTCCTGGATCTTTCTGCATGAAGATAACTCAGCAAGGTCCAAAGGGTTTTATATGTAAGTTTGCTGATAACAAAATGCAGGATTCACAGATTGATATAAATGATGACAGAACATTTTTAGTCTCCTGGATTTCCTTAATCCAACAGAGTTAGCATAATTTCTGCATAGAAATAGAAGTTCCTGAGGGTTCTGCAGCTTGTTTATAATGGGCTGTAAACATTGAACAAACTATATGGTTTAATTTCAGGGGATGGAAGATGGAGACAAGTTATAAGACGTTGTGCATCTGTTGCTGATACAGGAGTAACTGGAGTGTGCAATTGGGGTGTTTATGACAATGGAATATATTGGGAGGAGTGTTATTGTTCAGAAGATGGCTGTAATGGCTCATCTTCAGTACAGACATGCTTGTTTGTTATGATGGGGTCTCTAGGTTTTATAGCATTCTTTCAGAAGTGGCTGTCTTAAATATTTTTTTGAGTAATTTGTATCATGCTGTAGATCTAATATAAGAGTTTATTTCCAGAAGTATATAGAAGATGGGGTGTGGCTGATAGACTTGGACAGGAAAATATTAATACTCAACAGCATTATGTGCTTCTGGATACTGAATTTCAACTTCTGTTTGATCACTATGTGTATAAGATGTAACAAGTCACCTCCCCATAAAGATTGGTTAGAAAAGCCATTATAATAGTTCCCTTCTGCACACTCCTCTTCTAAATGATATTTTCAGTATTATAGACCATGTCAGAAAGTTTGTTTTTAGTGTCTGTTGAATTCAGCGAGTCTTGGGAACCTCGAAAAATGGCCTATTTAAGATTAGGTCAAGAATTGAATTTTCTGTAAATTTATACATGAATCTCCCATTTTCTGCCATGTGTATGTTATCTATTACATGTATTACTACTGAGCCCATTTATAGTAAAATTATACACATATTGTTAACTGTTATCTCAAATTACTGGGAACATTTTATATGCTTGCAATCATCTTTACTAGGTTTAACTGCTTACGTAACTGCAGTTGTAATTTTTATAATGTGTTATATGAAGAGTATGTGGTGCTGAGGATATTTTTACATTTTTATGTTGTAAATTTACCTCCATTACCTTGCTCTTTATGCATGGTGCACTTGAAATTTATATGAAATTTTGTTTTAACAGTAATATTACAGTCTTGATGCTGTAATAAATACACCAAAAACAAAATAATTTCCTTGAAAATGGAACTAAAAATTGCATTGTGTCTGTTTTTCCATCAGGAAGTAACGATGCAAATGAGGTCTTTTGGGGGGGGCACAACCATTTTGCATGTTACATGCTGATGTGTCTTATACATGAGGAAATATAGTATAGTATGTTTCAGACTTTACTGTAGGTTGTAGAAATATGAATGGTAAGATTTGTTACATATATTGCTTATTTGGAAAGTATTATTTCAAGAGGCAGCTAAACTGGGAAGAATTCCAATATTATTTTATCATAACTCCAATAATTAACAAAAGTAACTATACTGAGAGATGAAATAATTCTCACATAACTAATTCTGTTCGGCAGGTACAGAAAATTGTATGAGGATATTACTATTTTAATGAAATAATATTTTATAACTTTTATTGATGTTTTATGAATTTAGGAAAGTTTCTTAATTATATATATATATATATATAAAATAACTTTTTGATTAATGGCCATCTGTGTTTCCCTTTATCAGTAGATTGTGTCTGCAAAATGGTCTGTCTCAAAATTATAGCAAACAATTTAAGAACATGATTTTCCAGACAACTCTTTGAGTTTTTAAGCTATGTCTTGTACTGTTTTTCAGTATTAGTTTTGCAGTCATTCACCATTTCCTAAGTCATGTGTAATAACATTAAAATACAATAATTTTTATACATCAGTGAATGAGCGAGAGTCAATACTATGTTTATTGCAGCGGTGACTGAATTCACAAGTCATAAATATTTATAATGGTTGTAATTTTCAAACTTCTACTATGTAAATTTCTTCCTTTTATGTCCCTAATGATGTACAAAAATGAAGCAGCTTAAAGCAAACAGAATATTAACAGCCGCAACTTTAGAAAAAAGTCAAGAAAGGTTGAGGACACGACGTTACCACATAATAAAGTCAACTTAATATAGTGAACCATCCACATAATAAGCACAAAGTATAAAGGACAATCACAGAGCTGAGACAAGTATCTGTGCGCAGAAGGCATTATTCTCCTTATTTTAGTTTGCATTGCTACTTGCATGTGATCCATCTGGCCTTCCATGCATCATGCTGAGTGACATATGTCTTAACAGTTAATGCCATAGTCTGGCTGAAACATGAATGTGCTCCAAGAGACACTTAAGACAGCAGGCAGCTGACATAGATCAAGGTTATGAGAAGATAAAGTTGTCCTCTGCTTAATTATGGAGCATAATTTTAATAAACAATTACTATATAGTGGGAATTAACACAGTAAGAGGACTGGAGAAAGATGTATAGAGAAATTAATTCATATATGAAAATAAACCATAACCATAATGTATGGATGGAAAATAACATCATTGCTGAGGGCAGTTTAGGCGTGAAAGTAAAGTTGAGGTGAAGAAAATGACAAGCCCAAGTGGAGGGTGAGAGAAGAGGAATGACAAAAGAACAAATGCAAGAGAATAGGTTGTACAAAGTGATTTGAATGGAAATTGGTCAATGAAGTGACAACCCACACCTGCGTGAATGAGGAGGATAAGTTAACCAACTGATCTGCTATAAAATTGTCATATACCTTATATTATTTCTTTAATGTGCTGTTTTATTTGCATGACCTGGTGTGTTGTGCTTATCCTGGCTCTGGCCTCATGGAGTCGTCGGTGGCATAGTTATATGCCATTTTCACTTGTTTTGGACAGACTCTGATTTATGGCAAAATACTTCTAAGTTATACTGTCAATTAATAGGCTTTGTAGAACTTCTTTTTCTGTCATAATACCTACTTAAAATTGCATCCAAAAATTGTTTGTGTCTATAGACTTCAAGGGGAAAAGAAGATGTAATTTGGACCATAATAACAAATTGAGGAGCATGTAATGAAATTATTCGACAGCTTTGTATTCCGGGTTGTATTTTGCACTAATGTGTTTGATTTGTGTATTGTGTTCCACGAGGAATACACTCAACTCGAGTATATTTTACGTAGTATTTATACTTACATATGTTAGCAGTGTGTGATATTTTGATGTGTACTTTTGTGTGCCTTATTCCAAGAAGGAAGGGTATTAAAATACATTATGGCCGTCCATTCATTGAATATTATGAGCAGAGTTGTTTGTTGACAGTGTTCTAATTGTGTTTTTAGACATATAGCAATAAATGTGTGCGCACACATAATAGATATGGTAACAGTAATCTGATAATTTAAGAATACTGTATGTCAACCATATTTAATGTGTTGATGTAGAATCTCTGCATACATGTGATGTATAAGCAGGGAATATTCTAAAAATATTGATCTTAATCATTCCACTTGTAGGAAGTATACCATTTAAGAATGTATATATTTTTGTAACTGAACAAGTATTTTTATTGGGTTTTCACATTTTATTGGTCTTTCAGTTCTTTTGTTGTAAGTCATCTAATTATCAGATTCAGAGTTTTACAAATAAAATAATTTTGTACTCTTGGTAGTGATTGTGATTGATGAGATTAACCCGTTCTCCTAAAACAGCTGGAGAATCACAGATGAGATATCCATCTTTCCATTGTATAACACCCTTTTTTGTGTTGGGTGTTGAGTTTCTACCATGTGGGCTTATGAGATAATGTTTTTGATTCTCTTGTTTGTGATCGCTATTACTGGGTGTCCCATTTAACTCGGAACCCACCTACCAGAATGTGATGGCTATGTGGCTAACCGCTATTACTGGGTGTCCCATTTAACTCAGAACCCACCTACCAGAATATGATGGCTATGTGGCTGTTATTATTTGGTAGTTCACTCTCTGTTGTTGCAGAATGCTTTAGTGGCAGGTTCATTGTTAAATGGGATACTCTGTACTGCTATACATACTGTTAATATTCACATTTGTCTTTTAGGTTACACGCTTGTTGACAAGAGCAGTTCTTCCATGTGTGAGGCATTGGTTCCTGATTTCTCCACTTTTCCCAGCCCTCATTTTGACATCCTCTATTTCCTGACCATTACTCAGTAAGTAACCTTAACCCTTTGATGGGAACATTTATGTATGCATGAAGATATTAGCTACTCATTCTGAAACCTGTAAGTACATTTAGAGAAAAAAAATCAGATTTATTGAATGTTGAAGCATGTGGTACATGTAGTCATGTTAAAAGGGTCAAAGGACATGAGCTATCTCTGTTTGTAATTTTGATTATGGACTTGCAGATACTAATGTGCTGTTAAGATGTCCATTTGACATAAAATAGTAAGGGTTTGTGATGGTAAATAATTTTTCGAAATTTCTCTGACAAACTGAGCGTTGTGTAGTCTGGTAGAAGTTTACTAATCTTCCTGATGACGGAGGCAGCAAGCATCTCGGAAACATCGGCAAACTTTTATCAGACGTCCAGAAGACAGCTGTCAGCCATTTTCATACTAGCTACCGCGAGAACGTGCAATCTGACTAAAGGAAACTGATTGAATAACGTGTTGGCGAAAGAGTACAGTATCGTGAATGTTTTTATATAGCGTATTAATTTTGAGAAAATCTATGCTAATAAACATGGATTTAATAATCTCTTTAGCGAATTTCACTGTCAGGTGATTAACATTCTTGTTTCGTATTATAATTTCGGCCCGAATAAAGCTTTCCAGACATTTTTCTGAGTTCCTTGTCTTAGGACATGATAGCAGGAACCCATAAATACGCCATGGTTACTTCATTACACACAAGTTTATGCCAAAGAACAAGCTTGTGCATATGCGAGTCGTTAGCTGTCCACGACCCTTGAATCGGATAGGGTAGTTCAGGTATCCTGCCTGTCGTGTGATGGCGCTATCTGTTGCATCGGTGCTGTAGTAACTTGTGCGATCGCGCAGTGGAATGTCGTGTTTGTGATTTCGTGAAGTCGTCAAAATGGGGAAGGCGCCGGTGATATCATCTTCTGGAAAGTTGATGCTGAGCTGTGATAGAAGCATTTTTATACCATTGATAGTGAGTTAAAATGTAATTTGTATGAAAATTATTACTGTAGTTTATGCACATGTTATTGAAATGAGGTCCCTGTTTTCAAAGGTAATGTAATCAAAATTTGGAAGTGACTTAAAATCTGTCACGAGAATGGTTACCATGTGGGCTACACATGCTTTAAAAATGGCATAATTTTCATGCGGGACTGAAATAAAAATTTATTTAGAGGAAAATTTAAAGTCGTCAAATTGAGGAAGCCGCGTGCCATGCAAAGTTCATCACGATTTACACTACACGTTAGTTCAAAACTAGGCCAAGTTTTCAGATTTAAATCTGGTGTAAATTTATTTAGAGGCAAAGCGAAACGAAAGGAAAATTTCGCTGTTTATAAATGCCAGTAATAATTTTACAAAATTAATAACAATGCTTCAGTTTAAATAACGAGATAGCTAAACCAAGTTCCTTGTATACTAAATTTTCCCAGAAGCGGCGAGTGCCTACAACGTTCCTGATTATTCGTAAATTTGGGGGAACAAGAATATGAAAAGTAGTAATCTCTTTTGCAGTTACTGGGATTTTTTGTTTTTTTTGTACCTATTATAAATATCTTGTACTTGATACTTTTATTAATTAGTTTACTGAATGCAAGCTGAAATTTTAAGGTCTTATTTGTTCAGAATGTTCTCTGGAATGAAAGTATGAAAGCTTTTATTCGAAATATTTCCAGATTACCGACGCTTGCAACAACCATAAACTCGTCTTTTCTGACTTCGTATTCGTTATATTTTAGAATTGAGTTCCTATTCTAAAGCATAATGCATTGGATTTGTATGATAGAGATTTGAAATGATTTTATTCCAAAATATTTAAGTATATATACATTTTCAAGAAGTGAACATTTCCCGAATAGTAATATGCAGGTGATAGCCTATACAAAATATTAAATCACATACTTTTGTCTTCAAATTATAGTGCATCTTGTGTCAGGAATATACAGACATTGGTAACGTAGAGAGATCTCCACATTAATAACAGCGTGGGATTCAAAAGCGTAGCTGTTGTAGTGGAACGAGAAATAAAGAGACATGTGTAGTTTTGCATTCAGGGTCTAAAAGGGCTAAACATCGTCGTCCTGCGTGTGGCGCCTCAGACGAATACCTCGTGGCTTGTGCACGCCTAATTCGTCAGTCAAACAGGAATATCGTAAAATTACAAAACCTGAGAATTTTACTTCATAGAAATGGTCAGTGTCATTCCTTGAGAACAAAATTACGTTAGTAATGTACCGTGTTGAATAAATTACAGGCAGATTATCTCATCACTGAGGCAATTCTTTGGCAAAGCAATTACGTTAAGCTTGTTGCCGAAACATGCATGCCATAAATCACCATTTCATACACTTCATGTTTCGTTCGTATAGTTTCAATGAGAATTATTAGAGTTTTTAAAACGACGAATCTGTTTGGCAGACTATAACAAATATTACGAAAGTTTTTAATATTTCAAAGTTCTTGACGTTTTCCTAACCAGTACATAGATATGAATCAAACTTATTTCTACAGGATTCTTGCCCTATTTACTGTACCTTAATTATGATAATTACTTCTCCACTCACTTTCTTCTTATTTTATTAGAAATAGTATCAATTTATTGAAGGTGAATAATCTGATATGACAGTATTATCGTGTAGTTACAGTCTTATGCAAAATATACAGGCACAATCTCTGAATATTCTCCTTGTATAGGCTTATCCCGTGGGTACGGCACCAACACACCTGTAAATTATAAAAACGTTATTTTTAGAATCTTGGTGAATATAGGCAGCAAAGTGAAACAGAGCAAAATATTAAACCGCCCTGATGATGGAGGCAGCAAGCACCAAATCGATTTGTTTCATACAGCGGTTATGTGACTGTGGGTCGACGTGATACGTTTTGAATTTAATTCCGGACAGACGCGTCATGAAGGGAGAACAGAAACAACGGACATGGAGAGGGGTGTCTCTAATGCGACATGCGAAATACAGGAGAACCTCCATGTTTGCGGGTTTGCTTATTCGCGAAAAAATTTAATATTTGTGCATCGCGGCGTCGGTCCCTCGCTCATTCGCGGTCGTTCTCGCGTAGGCACACGGAAAAATACACAACAGCCCCCATCTGCCCTCCTGTCTCAGTAGCCGCTACGTAGATTTCGTGCCACACCGAATGTATCTGGTCTGTACTTTCGCAGTTCTTAGAACTGATGGTTGACATTGTTCGTTCACACTGACAACTTTCAACTCATAACGCCGTCGTCATCCCAATGAACAGCAACATTGAAGATTTTATGTTTATTAATCATCATGTTTAGTGTGTATTTGGTCCCCCTAACTCCATTTTCCCCATAACTTAACTTCGCGCATCCCGGTTTTACCATTTGCTAGGTTTTCAAGAGCGTAACCCCCACGAATGGCGAGAGTTTATCAGACCGTCTTACAGTGGATCATTGTCTGAAGAGATTTGCCTCACGATGGGCCAACAGCTATGAAAGTTCTGAGACAGACGTAAGATACAACTGTTTAAAAACGGAGACCAGAACGTCTTCATATCTGCAGTAGGTCCATGTAATGGTTGAGGGAACAGGCTTACCTTCATAAACGACTGCATTTTGTACTGGCAGAGCAGAGTTGGGATCAACAAGGGCAGCCTGGTACAAATGAGGAGAGTTTTGATGCTGTGCTACAACAGGTATCCCACGAGTCACTCCTCCGGCGTCCACAGCCTGCAAAGTAACGACGGCAGGAAAGTGCCGTTGCTGCTGAAGTGCGACGTGTGGAACAAAAATTACAGGTCGCAAGTTGTTCTGCACGTCGTGTTGCTGCTCTGATTGCTGTACGATATTAGCTACAGGAATGTAGTTTTGTGCTGTTGCTGTCTGAGAACTGTGTGCCCTCGCGTTCAAATCTTCAACATTTTCACTCACAAGATCGCCGCTGTAATGGCTGTTGGAAAACATGTGTGATCCAAGATATTGCCTTATTACGTTTCCATTGTGGGTATGGATGCCGTGATCAGGTTGAGCGCTCTCGATGTTTACCGTAGGGGCAACTGGGAGAGTTTGAATGTTGTTGATATTACTATAAATCCGAAACTTTTGATGTTTCGGGAAGGCGTTCTGAAGAATAACTTGAGGTTCCACCGGTTGTTCGATTTCATTCTCTGTAACTGGTCTTCTGGTCGTCACTTCTATGGGCTGCAGTGTGTACCTTGAAGGCTGTGCCGTATGAGGTAAATCTGTAACCAAATCGCTCGAAATTTGATTCATTGAAGGTTTTTTTGATATGCTAGAAGTGGGCACGTAACTGTTTTCATCAGTGGGACTATTCGGAGTTTTCTTGCCAAAATCCCAATGTGTGAGCGCTTGTAGTCTTTCCTTTCTGTCTTGTGTTTGCGGGATGTTAGTAGGGATTGATTCTGGAAGATTCTGCTTGTTTTCATTTTCAGTATGCTTTATATTCTTCAGGTTAATACTACTTTGTTTTCCAATTCTGCTACGATAAAGTGCTTTTTGTGATTGAGAAATTTTATTGCTTGTAATACTTGTCTTGTTTGGCCTGTTCTGTTGTGCATTTATGTTTTTAAATGGAAGCATCTTTGGGGGAAATTTTACATTTATTCTAGAAGTGTTGAAGGCAGTGGAACTATTGTGATTAATATAGGTTACATGATGCTTGTTGTCAGAAACGTTTGGGTCACTGAAATAGATGTATTTATGATCCCCAATTTCATTATTACATTTTCGAACAAGTACGTTCCCTAATAATATTCTGCTATTGAAGTCTAAACCTTCGTAAGGCAAATTTTTACGAAATATTCCTTTTGGCGTAGATTTCCAGTCATTTTCTTCGTTTTCGTCGTTTGTTTCAATTGATGTTACTGGAAGAATAGCGCCTTCTTTAATTCTCCTATACTTTGCTCTGCTGTTGTCTTTATGTCTCTCTGCGCTCTGCCTTGAAATTTGTTTTACATTATTCTCATTATCGATATCGGAAAACAATAAATCGTCCGTTACCATAGAAGTAGTTTCGGCATTCAATTCGTTGGAACCGTTCAGTTTCACCTCTACTGATCTGACAATCTCCACTACTGTTACTCCACGGTTGTTGGTTGTCTGGAACGACTCTGGTGAGGTTTCTCGTAGCTGCTGTTTAAATGCACCTGACGGGTTGTCGGGCACGTTGATTAGAAGCGGAACTCTGGTAGCTCTTACTTTGCGGGACAACTGATTCAGATTAAAACGTCCAGCGTCTCCAGTACGAAGAACCAGACACACTGCTGCCACCAATGGCACAAAGATCAAATGAAATTTCATCTGAAAATAAGCAAAGGCAACATGTAATTGGCCCATATTCAATGCGCAAGTTTTCATTCGTACTATGATCGTCTCTTTCACTTATGAGACCACTGAACACTAGAGATCATATATTCGTATTAGGACAGTAATGTAATACAATGTAACTGTCTCTCTGGATAGACAAGAGTGCAATCCATAGGAAAAGATTCCGTCCATACCGGCTTATTTTAGACATGTCAATAGGCGTACGGCCAATTATAAAATTCTACCTTCTCGTATATAATATAGAGCAGAGGTTTGCAATCCGCAGCCCGCCAATGTTTTCTGCGGTCGGTGTATATTTAATGTAATACTGTGTCACTTGTACGATGAAAAACAGTTGCCCAATTCCAGAAAACGCGTGTTATTAATGTCGTCAGTATTTAGCATTAATTATCTATACATACCTTAACGAAGAATTAAATTTGGCACTGAAAGATTACACGTGCAAAATCAGTGTCACTTATCTCACTAATGATGTATTTTGTTAAAGAAATTTATTGAGAAATATGTGAACCAGTTTGCAACAGTAAGCATAATTTAGTAGCATTTTTAATAAATTGCCATGGCGGTTAAATAAACTGCCCTCTATAATTTTGCTGGCCGAAAATTGATAAGGAAAGGCGAATGTGGCCCCAGAGCTGGAACAGACTAAGAACCGCTGTTCTAAATAATTCCATGATAATTTCACCATCTCTTGTGACGCTGTATAACCTCTTCAGTTTAAGAATCAGTCATCATCTTTACATAAGAAGTCCTACCACGTTCCCAGAAGACTGATTAGCTATATCATAAAACAAGTTTCGAGTCGAAACAGTACTTGTGAGAAATGAAGTATGATGAGTGTAAAGCACACAGATTCTGTTTCCTTTGAAAAATCGAGATTTCTCGTTTGTTTCTTATAATTTTATAGAAAGGAAGTGCATGAATAATGTATTCAGGTTTATCCTTGTTCAAGGAATTTCACCGCGGAACAAAAAAAAATGGTATCGCTTACTCCGGACTTATTCTTGTTTCTATAAACGTGGAACACATTTTATTTTTATACTCGTTTGTTTTCTCATTTTTTTCTCTTATTGTTCACGCGGAACATTTGATTTCTTACCTCAATACAGAACGATGTGAAAACAATCTCTTTATGAAACATATGAAGGCGTAATATGTAATTTATGACGTGTCACACATTACTGTAAAGAATATCACATTCGCCTTTATTCTGTCATACTATTTCAGGAATATCGTCAATTTTATTTTTATTTCTACCCAAAGAATTTAAATTAAGGAAATTGGACCTAAATCATATTAAAACTGTTTGTATGTCAACGCAGACTGTATGAAAATTTGGTTTGTTGCCCTGCAAGCCATTTAACCCGTCGGATGATTTGCAAAAGATATTAAAGACTGTTGTTCTGGTTGTATTGAGATATTGGAGGAATTTCCTGAGTTCACTGAGAGAAACATAACAGCAGCCAATATTCCGACTCAGATTGGAATCAGGAATTTTTATTAACAGCCGAGCTAGTATTTTCGTTACTAAAAATACGAGTCTTTGAAATTTCCTAAGTATAATTATGTTCTAATTTTCACCTTCGTATGTGAAAACACTGAAAATATAGAAGTATCGTTAAGTTCAGAAGCTGACGAAACGTGTTCAATAATAGTACATCTAAAATTATTTTTAAATCACATATAGAAACAGATTAATTATAGTACATAACAATAAACACAATAGTTTTAATTTAAAACTGACTTACTTTGATAATTTATGGAGGGTCCGTTAACTTCTTTGAAAACCAACGCTCTTATCTCATTTCACGACTGAACACAACTAAAAGAGAAATTAATAATAGTAAGATAATGCACTTTGGAGATATGAACACGGTTTGTATTAATCACCTCCCCACAAGAACTTCTGTACAGTAATAGTCCATAAAGAAATTTCCTTGTCTTAGTGAAAACTGCCACCAAAACGTTACTCGACAAATGGCCTACAGTGCTTTGCAGTCACGTTTGATACGCATTGTGAGCTCAAGGCGATCTAGAAGACGATAGCATGAACATATGCCTTTCTTCTTCTTGTTTCTTCTTTCTTGAAGTAATTTTAATAAGCGGGAGTGAAAGTTAGCTCCTTTTATTCTTCTCAGTCAGTGTACCGAATACCCTGTTTCACCATTACAAAAGCGCATATGTTATGTTTAATATAAAATGTTACGCAGAAACACATTAAAATGTACCATATTGCATATAATTAGAAAATATTTCATATTCTTGTCCTTAGGTTTTCGTGGCTATTGTTTAATGTGTATCTTCGGCTTTCGGGGATGAGACACTTGGAATGTTCAGGGCTTTCTGACATTTCGGCTAACATTGCAGTTGCCATCTGCAGAGTTAATTCACTCTGATGATGAAAAGTGCAGTGCTTGCCGAAACGTTGGAAACCCTTACATATTTCATGAGGTTTTTCCCCGAAAGCCGAAGATATACATTATCGTTCATATGCTAAAATCTTCTTGGTTTTGATGTCGATTTGTAACAGAAAATACCTATGCAGATGGTTGTCTTCTGGGTTGTTATGCCGTGTAGTCTGGTAGAAACGTCGGTAAACTTCTACCAGACTATACGGCACAACAACCCAGAAGACAGCCAACGAATTTATATTACTTTTAAATGGAGAGCTGTAATTAATATATATATATATTTAAAGCAATATTTTGGCCAAAAAGACCGAGATATAAATAAGTTATTAAAGTTTACTTAATGATTTTAAATGTAACGGATTAATTACATGCGACCGTAACGAACTTGTCTATTAAAATTAAGATAATTTATTTACGTCATATTAATGGAGTTTCTTCGTGCAATCCGTAACACAATAAGACTCTGAAATCGAAATGTTTCTTGGTTCTTAGATGTTTTTTTAAGTGATTGAATTTTTATTGACTATCTCGTTTCAAATACAGGCGTTAAATGCGTTGAATGAGACGAGAACATAAGCTAATGACTTAGAAAAATGTGGCCATAGCCTACTTCGAAAATTAATCCCTGGTGAGGCTACGGAAAAGAGAGCTTAGTAGTTTAACCCCCTATCCCGAAACATAGCAGATATTATACTTTCGGTTCTTATAAAACTAATAGGCTTGTGAGATCATCGTCCTGTGTCGCCTCCTTCAATTTCAAAGAAACTGGCCGCTTTCTATGAAATTTTGACTAAACATCTTGCCAGTAGAGGCCATGTCAACCTTAGACTCCATTTCATACGATCGGTAATAACGACGCGCGAACCTGTGAGTTGGGGGCGACACCAACATTGCTGTTTAGTAAAGGCCCTGAAGTTTTGTATGGTAATAATTCCAAAAAATATATACCTACGAAATATTTTTTGTCTGCTTTCTTCTGGTAATTTGAAAAGGTCTATGTAAGAAAAAGCCCAACTGCAGACATACTCCGGATGTATTCGGGTGGGTTACATTCCATCCTTAACTGGAGATTTTAGCGCCTCCCTTTCTTTGGGATAGTACCTTGATATAGGACATGGTCCACTCCTTCCAAATCCATACCTACTCACCGTTAATGATCTGTCCACCTCACACTACATAATATCAGCAGATTAGTCACTGAATAGCCAAATAAACAATCTGATTTAATGCATAACAGGGAATGTTAATGAATTTCCTGCACTTTATTGAACCCAAGGGTTAATTACTGTTTACTAGAGTCAAATGAATCCAATCCACACCTCCAAACCCTATTTCCCTAGAATCCCTTTTAATATCTTCAAACTATGTTTAGGTCTTCCAAGTGGTCGTCTCTCTGCAAGCCTTCCAACCAAAACTTTGTACACATTTCTCTCATCTCCCTTATGTGTGCAACATAGACTTCATTTTATAGTGTTACATAATATTTGAAATATAAACCGTATTCCCCCTGGGATGGAAAATTTGATAAAATGGTAAATTATACCGTTCGATTTCCACTTTATTATGCATATAATCTTTCAAAATATGAAATAGCTGACTGAATTTGAACAAAGGAAGTACAATGCTTTCATATTTTGGAAGCAACAATAGAACATGCTTCCCATGATTTAATCAATAACTGTTCAGAATAATACTGAAATTATCCTTCCATAAAAAACAATTGATGTACATGAGCAATTTTAAGATCATAAAAATTAACTGAAATCACTACATACTAGAGGAAAAAATAGCCAAGTGACTTTTTCAACAGCGCTAAGAAATCTCGTCAACTCTCTCCAATGTCCACTTTTTCACCTCTGGAAGTTTGTTCATCCAAACTATTTTACCTCACTCATTACATTCACACTCCTACTACAAACTACAAGGAAAACTACCCAATCAAATAGCAGCCCCAAACTCTGTACTTGCCTTCTGTAAAGTAATGCCCAGACCAGAACTGGAGACCATCAGCCTCCAATGTAATTGGTAAGAGGGTCTCTTTCTGCAGGGATAAAGCCATAATGGGGAGACAACATTTTGAATTGAAAGATTTGAGGTTTTCACAGCGGTCAGTATGAAGATTTCTGTCTTCTGGGTTGTCGCGCCGTGTAGTCTGGTAGATTCATCGCCCTGATGACGGAGGCAGTATGACCTCTGAAACGTTGGTTAACGTCGACCAGACTACACAGCGCAACAACTCAGAAGACAGAAATCTTCATTTTGAATTGAAGCTACCAAAATTTCATACAGCTTTTAAGATATATAACTGTCATAGTATCATCCATCCAAGTATCCAAGATTTAATTCATGACTTCGGAAGGTGAAAATCTGCAGAATGAATTCACCTTTCAGCAGTGTGGTATAGTTAGAACTGTCCTAAAAATCTGGAGCTTTAAAGATTCTATTTCAAGAAATACAAATACTTTTTATTTGTTAAACCTTCTGTAATTGCCCAGAGTTTGATTCTATAAACTGGATGCATAACAGCAACAGAAAAATGATGTGCTTAATGACAACCTGTTTTATCATAAAACTGTCATGATAAATAATATATTGTAAAATTATCTTTTTTAAGAAAAAAGGGTGGTTTTGGTAATGTTTAATAGAGTTCCTTAGTGGATATTATACTGTACATGCCTTACCTTTTAACAAATTTGCATACTCAACACAGAAAAATACAAATTCCAGAAGACCACAGCCACATGTGCATAATCATCTTCACAAGATAATACTTTATACAATTTGTAACATTTAAAGGCAGACTACTTAACCATGCTATAATCTCTAGACACAAGGTTTTTGGATTCCTGTATTTTTACTTCAACATATAAAAGAAATGTTATATCATTTTTCACTTCATAACCAAAAACCAACTTTTTATCCCCACCCACAATAGGCAGTAATTTTATAAACATTTTCAGCATTTTTTGGCTCTCATGTTGACAAGTACTTGACATTTCCTGCAACCCCTTTAACATAATAACTTTTATTATTAAATACTGATAATCAGTTTAGATAATAAAACAAATGTGAAAGATGCAGTAAACTGTCTATAATATAAACAATGTCTGAAGCATTCTACAAAGGATAGTGATAAACTCAAGTATTAAATTGGTGTAGAATATAAAAGATGATAATGGAACACAAAATATACACCACACAGCACCAAAATGAGAAAGACAATTATTAAACATCCATATTTATAGACTAAAATGCTACATCAGTTGCAGGAACAAATCTGTTGCTGCTTCACAGGATTCTTGACTTAAAGAATGACAAACAGACCAGTCAAGTGCCTGTTAACTGTAACAAACAGCAATGTGGTCATAGAGGGGGACGAAAGTATGGCATCTGGGGAGGCATAGATCGAGGAAACCCAAATGGTGGAGGTGGACGATTTGGATCAAAGGGTGGAACTGAGGGAGAGAAAATAGGGTTGTATGGAGAAAAAGAAGGGGGTTGGATTGGAGGAAAAAATGGTGGTGCAACTGGTGGAGGCAGGGTGAATGTTGGTGGCTGAATGAGTCTAGGTGGAACCGGTGTAAAGGGGGGTGGGGGTGGTCTATTGAGACCATGTTGAAACCTAGGGCTTGGGGGAAAGGGGGCAGTCCACCATGCAGAATTAGGAGGTTGTGGGCATGGACTATTGTTGTTGCTATTATTACTGTTATTGTTATCACGATTTCTAATGGCTACTGCTGCAGGCTTATTAGCAAGCAAAGCAGTCATGCGAAGGTTACGTTCATTCATCCTCTTTTCAAATGAACTGCCGTTCTTCTTCCTTGGCTGTTCAGAACCTTCATCTGTGACCTGAAACAATCCAGTTCTAGCTGATGAAAAAAGTACTTCCTCTAATTCAATATGGTCATTCTCTATATGCGACAAGTATTAAGTGCAAAGTTGCAATGCAAAACTGTAT